CCCTGTGCCCTCATGAGCTCACCAAAACTCCTTAAGTAGCCCCTCAGCCAAAATAATTGCCCACCCCTGCTCTGGAGGAAGGCTTCTAACCCAATACCAATAAGACATCACCTCATTTGTAGCCATTGATGGCAGAAAGTGAAGCTTTAATTCAATGGCATCTCTGAAATGAGCTTGGAGGGGCTCAGCCCAGATCTCTGGGATGATTTGGGGGCATATCTGTGTCCAGCCTGGGAATCTGTTTGATGGTGGGGACTCTCTAATGCAGTGGTTCTCAACCTGTTTTAGGCTTGCAACTCCCCTCAATAGACTCAAGGCCTCCCACAGAAAATGCTAGCTCTGGGTTTCCATTGGTTTTTTGATAACAAAAACTTAATAGAACAACTCTTCTGTTGCAAAGAACTCAGAAAGATCACAACAGGTCAGAATGTTTTTTAATGCTACAGATTCCTATCGGAAATCTCTGCGTTCATCGTGTGAATCATGCTTGCACGTCTAGCAGTGCTCAATTTGCATGACACCCCATGGCACCCCTAAAATGATCTCAAAGCACCCCAAGGAGCTATAGCACCCTGGTTGAGAATCACTCATCTAAGGTATCTGTCTGTGATTACAAATACCATACTAAATGTAGTACTTGTCTGCCAGCTCTATTATCTTCTGTCTCTGAAGAGCAGAAAGATGTAAAAGTAGCCTTGCACCTGCTATAAATGTGGAGCATGCTTGGATAAAGAGATGGAGCATGCTTGGATAAAGAGATGCTGCTGTCTTGGACAGCACAGCAGCCTCAGAGGCATGAGACAAAGACCCTGCCTCCCAAAAGGGTGCTTAAGGACCCAAACCCAGCACTGCCATTTCAGGAAGCTGAAAAACTCCTGGGCCCAATGAGCGAGGCCAGGTGAGCAGCCAGCATGGAAGACCTTCCTGGCTGCGGTAGTCTGCATCACAAAACCCCAACAATCCCAGCAGAGAGATCAAGGTCTGAATGGCCCTTGGGGGCTGAAGTCTCCTTTTACTTCTACAGGTTAGGGATCGGGGAAGTTGTGGGACAGCTTGGGGAATTCCAACCTTGGCAAAGGAGTCAATCTCTGGTGCTGATAACTGTGCTAATTACTTCCTGAAGTAAGTTTCATTAGAAACAACAAGTGAACTACCAATATTCTCCGCCCCCACAACCCAGGGATTTACAGGAAAAGCTCTTTGCAACACAGAAACCTGCAAACCGCACTGGCCATTCATTTGTAATCACTTCCAGCTCCCCCCAGCTGCCCTGGTCCCCAAGCTACAAGGTGCCTTGATCAGCTTGGGAGAGTCTGCACGGGAACAGCTGAGCAAGCGCGTCCATTATCCTTCAACAAACTGAGGAGAGGAGTAATTGCATTTTCAAGAATCCAGATGTACTTTTTTCTCCTTGGAAAGGGCCTTTTCTCCCAGGATCCAAGCCCTTAGTTTCTGTCAAATCTCCATCAGACCATCTTTCCCCCCTCCACAAAAGACATCTCTTCATACCTCAAATGCCAGATCTCCTCAAGTCCCTGCCCCTTGTCCCCACTTCCAACAAGTGGTTCACGACAAGAGGGAGAAAGCCACGAAAACTCCCATCTTTTTCAAGGAATCCTCACCCCCAGGTTTTGAGAATTTGGGAATTCTGAATGATATTTTGTCCCGATACTTCCTGGCAGAAATGTTTTAAAAAATCCTGTAAATGAACCTTTTGCTTTTCCAGTACAAGTCACTTGCATCATTCTAGACATATTCAGAAGGAAACAAAAAAAAAAAACACCAAAAAACTTTCATCACATTCAGCAGATTGCTGACAGGGTATTTCTACAGGATGCAGGAAAGACAAAACATAACTGATGCTGCAGGAGAAAGATCTGAGCTCAGAGCTATAGACCTGAAAAGAGCACAAGCACTGGCATGCTCCATGGCCAGGGCGAGAAGTACATCACTGCTGTGGGGATATAAGTGCTGATGGGTTAATATCTAATTTATTTGCAGCCAGTGCTTCCTTCCTAGAAACCAGTTCCTGTCACAAAAATTTAACCCTAGAAAGAGCCTAAAGAGAAAAAAAAAGGAAACTACAGGGAAAGTCTACAAGAGGAAATGTCCTGCTATTCTTAACTTGTTCCTATTTGTAATAATCCCAAGAACCTTTCACCGAAACATGGAACCACCAGGGATAATCAGTCTATGCTTGGTGTAAGAGTACCATGCTCAACTCTTAACATACTTAACTTTCTTAAGTCTGTGCAACACACTTAAGAAAGGAATTTTCTTGCTACTATTTAGTTGGTCTAATAAAAGATATCACCTCTGACGCAAGAGCTTTTGTGTATACTTAACTCTAGACAGGTGAAATTAGATCTACTAGTCTTTCAGGAATCATAGGGTCTCATGCTGTAATCTACTTGATAGACCACATCAGGAAGAGACCAGAAAGCTCCTTCTATTCCCAGCTCTGTCTCTAGCCCTCTGTGTGACTTGGGGCAAGTCATATCCCATACTGTGCATTGGTTTCCTGCTCTGTGAATGGGACATTGGTATTGACCTGCCTACCTGAAGTGAATTTATGATCTCTTTATACTGTGCAATTGGAAAGCATTTCTTGCCAGAACGAGCATAAGGGTGAAATCATTTGAAACTGCCTTGCTCTGTGTGAGTTCAGGCACAAATTCAGTAGCTGGAAGCTGAATGTCACTGGAAGCATTTCTGGGCTGATTCAGCTCCCAAACCAAGACACAGTGGGTGCAAAAACCTTCATGGACTGAAGCACAAGGGAGGAGAAAAAGCGGGGGGTTGTAGGAATCATTGCAAAATGAAGCCTCCAAGATTTATGCAGCTGTTAAGCTGCATATATCCTCCTAAAGCTGAACTCAGAGTGAGGCCTCAGGAGACTAGAGAATTACAGTCATGACTCCGATAGCAGAAGCTGCAAGAGCCATGTCTCACTTCCAGGAGGATGGTGGAGGTACAACTAAAAGAGTCTTATTGAGAGGTATTTCTGGGCTCGGCCTTGAAGAGCAGTTAGTGTGTGTGGAGGGTGTGCGGGGCAGGTGCCTTCAGCTGATCTTGGTGAGGCTTCCTGCCAGGACGCTAAGGCTAAGACTTTGGGGTGTGGGAGGGAAGATGATCATTGTTACAGGCTGTTGAAGACGGCGGAAAATCTTCTTGTCTTGCTCCTTGATTTCCTTCCTTTTCATGTGTGTTTTTTTCCATCGTGCCATTCATATTGTCCCAGTTTCCCTAGGGGTGTTATACGTCTTGAGGTTATATTTAGGCTCACTCTACCAGCACTGGTTTCAGTCAGTATAAGTACAAAGCATTCTGTCAAAGTCATCAGTGTTATGCACGGTAGTATCATTATCACAGTACAGAAAGGGTATGTGCTGTTAACTTTATTTAATGAAGTCGATTTCTCCCCCTCCTAAGGAAAGATGTTAAGCATTTCCCTTCTACATCACTCTTGGGTCTGCAATCCATTGGAGTCTACTTTAGACCTTGAATCGTGCCAATGGAAAACATTTAATTCATTTATATTAGGTTTGGACCCGGTCTCAGTCACTAATGAGCACAGCTACTTCCAAAACCTACCAGCAGTTGGTATATACTTGTATGACAGCTGCTAATTTAGCCAAGACACTAAGGACTGAACCATGGACTTCAGAATGTGACACTAGAAGTGGCAGTAGACAGACGCTGAAGAACTCAGCCACCTTGGGTGCTGATATCAGACCCAGATCCTCTGTGGATCAAGCATAGCAAGAGACCAGTGCTACTACCATCCTTATTAGTGGGCTACAGTGATCCACACTGGCCCAGAAGGAAAGGGCACCTGGATTATCTGGACACCTGATACAGGTGGGATTTTTGCATTACAACAGACTCCCGCTGTGGATCTCAGAGCACTTTGCAAACACTCAGTGTTAGGAACTGTGCTTTGACAACACGAGGCACAAAACTGAAAGGACCTGCATCCCAAGGATTTTACCATCTCAGACAAGCCCAGAAAAGACAGGACACAATGGGAGATACACTCTCTCTCCCCTTCTGTATAATGTTCATGGAGAGTTGGGGTTTTGAGGGGGAGAGGCGACAGCAGAAGGGAGTTTTTAGGAAGAGAAGAGGGCAAGGCCTGACACTGAAATTTGGAAGCTGATCCCACACATGGGACAGAATGACAGCAGATTGATCAAGCGTCTGCTATACAATTAAACCACAAAGCCTCCTCTCACTGGTGTAAGTCAGGAGTAAGTGTATGGGAGTCAAAGCCATCCCACTGCTTTAAAACTGCAGTGAATGGGATCAGATGCAGGGCCCCTGAGTAAGTGTGCTTAGAGAACAGAGGGAAGAATGTGCAAGATAAACTGCTCTGTGCTGTACCCGGCTGTAAGAACCGAGAGTCACAGGATCCATTCCTGTGTGTCCTTATCTAGCTTGTAATTCATAAGCATGCTACCACCAAGAAGCCTCTGGCAAAAGCAGCATCCTAAACAATCGAGTTAGACTTGAGGATACTTGGTCTAATAAAAGGTATAATTTCTGAACCAAGAGTTTTGCACACAATGTATGGGAAGTCACCCCTTCGTATCCTAGACTGGGCACGTTACTGCGCACATCGCACGCTCCAGCAGGAACGGACACAACTCCTGGTGGAGGCAGGAGGAGCGCTTTTGAGAAACAGCTCCATCAAGCCACCTCGCCCTCCGTGTTCATCTCCAAAGACACGGTCACACGTGCGCAGGTCTCCGAAGCAAGTGCTGCTACCCCACCCCAGGCATTTGTCTCGGCTCCCTGACCTCTCTCGGGCAAAGCACCCTTGGGTTGCCAAAAGGCCTCGCGCGAGCCATGGCACGAGAAACGCCGCTGGGAGAAGTCGGCCGCCCAGGACAGCACAGCCGGCTCCTCCGCACCCACCTGCGCCCCTGCCCGGGACAGCTCCCCTTGGCCCGCCCGCCCGCCCCCGGGGAGACCGACTCGGGACCAGGGCTGGGACTTACCTGCCTGCCCCCTGGCCAGGGGCCCCAACAGCTGG